GTGGTACATGTTCATGCTCAGAATCTGTGCATGGAGTACATGTACATGTACAAAGTACATGTACATGTAAGTATGGTACATGTTCATGAACATGGTACATGTTCATGCTCACAATCTGTGCATGGAGTACATGTACATGTGCAAAGTACATGTAAGTATGGTACATGTTCATGCACAGAATCTTTGCATGTACATGTAACACCCTGATGGTGAAACTGAAAATTACACGGGATAAGCTAGCAATTTAAAGAACTAAAGAACTGCAAAGAAACGTTCTCAAAATGAACCTTTTTACAATAACCGACAAGACCATTTTCTGAAATAAACATGAACAAATGGCGTAGGTTTCCTGTTGTAGAAAAAGTCAAAACATGGGCCATTGCAGAGCCCTTTATCGTTTTCAAAAATGCTCATTATGTATTAATAATATGCAAGTGACCCTGAAACATTCAGTGACACACAAGTAAACACAGCAAGCGGTGTGTACATGTACATACATGTACATGTAGATCTACTAACTATGCACACATGTACAATGTACCGGTACTATGGGCATAGGATGTGAGTGGGGTTTGGATTGCATGCTCAAAATACCATGTTCTTGTCCACTCCCTTGATAATGATTCAAGGTTCACTGGGTGATTCTTGTACATTTTTGTCATGATATTATTAACATACCCGAGTCTTGTGTAGTTCAAGTTGGAAATTATGGACAGGAATGCCCGGCTTGTAAAAAAGTTAAAAAAAAACAGGCCATAGGTTTCTGCGTGATAACACACTCATATTAAATTCTGCCAGAACCATTTCACATCTTTCGTGTGATCACTGATAAGACCAACAGAAGAAAGATACCCTGCTAAATGTAAATATGTCTTGTGTACATGCGCTATGTACATGTACCGTACATGGAGGCTTCATGCGCAAATGTGTGAAATATTTTGCACTGAAATCATGCTTCCTAGTGGCGTTTTATGGTGAGAAGAAATACAAAAGATGAAGGTAAATTTGCTAACTGCTATTCTGGGTCTTGAAAGACTGGGAAAAAAGTAACTGGCCATTTGGACAATTTGTCTTGAAGTTTTACTTGTCCGAAAACATAAAATACTTGTCCGGGGTACTGCAATCAGACATCTGTTAATATCAAGACCTTCTGTCAGTGAACTGTTGTCTTTCTTTCCAAATAAATGTGTTAAAAATTATTCCGACAAAATGATCTTAAAATCTGAGAAAACTCACAAATTTAATATGAATTTTTTTCTTTATTATAAGCTCATCAAAACAAAATCTCTCACTTCTTGTCCTCACTTTGGGTTAACCTGAATTGTACTTTTTGGTTTTAGGGTGGCCAGTCTATCTACAGAACCCTAAATGTTAAAATATAGTAAGCCTTTTTTGAGTACAGGTTTTTGCTTTTCATTTTTCTTTGTCAGTCAGTAGGCAAGCACATTGTGATATGTCTATTGACAAGTGCAATAGGCCGAAATGTATTGATGATGTTAGGCTTCCTTGTCACGCATGCTTTTCTGTGAACTCTCAAGAACATTATGAAGGCACAGTAAATAAAACATGGGGTAAACAGTATATGGGCATGTAACTAACTGGTCATGCCATGCTGTGTTAATGTGTACTTTCCTATGAAGCCAGTGAGGGCCCATGGTTCACTGATCACCATTGAAAAGCACATACTTAAACAAAGTGTGATGTCTTCAGCTTAGAGTTAATTGAGCAAGTGCTGTAATGGAGGATAGCCAGTATGATGTGACTATACTTCATTATATAGTGGAAAGTGAAGTATTCGTTCTGATTGTCCTGATCTGATTCGTTCATCTGATCACTTTTAACTTTTTAAAACAACTACATGTATTATACATGTCTGATGTAAATTAATGACTGATTACAAATGATTATTCTGATATCTTTACATTTACCTCTGTATTGCAAACCTACATGTATAATCTAAGATTCCGTGTTTTCACAATACCTGCTGGCATCTGCAGAGAGCGTATTCTGGTCACATTATTTTCTTCAAGCAAACCAGCTCACAAACCTGAAACAACTTCACAGTGTACCGTACTGATACCTCGTATGCTGATATTCGGTATACGTATTTCCTGTATGCAGCTGTACACGTATTGCACATGTTGCAAGTATGATATGCATGATACATGTACTTCAGCTGAATTAGCATTCTTACTGGTTATTTTTTAATCTTTGATATTGAACTTAAGCGCTTCTGAGCTACTGTAGTGTCTGTAAACCAGAACTGATACGTATGTGAAAGCTATGCCTACTTGTACAACTGAATAAACAATTGATGGACCATCAGTCACATATCATGAATCATTCAGTATAATTAACAGCAATTGTTTCGCATTTATATTTCGCTCACACATACAAAAGTTTGGTGATATCAGTGAAATGGAAACACCGTACTGTCTTCTGTCAGATGACAAAATTCCTAAACTTTTAAGTGATGGTTACATTTTTAACAAAAAGAAACAGTTTTTCAAACAATTACAGGTTGAGCAAATTATAAGACTAAGGAATAATTTTAAGTTGGATTGTGAAAACTTGATGTCATGATTTTTATACTGCATTATCAAAAAAAAAAGATCAAGGACTTGTGCTCAAACAGATTTATGTAGGTGTTGTATTTTGAAGCCAATGATAAAAGCTTCTCATTCAGTGGAAAGAATTTTATTCAGTGCCAGATTGTATACTGTATTGCACTTACGTGTAGTTATGCATTGTGGAGTATTGTCCTATCATGAAGTTATGCTTAGTGCCATTGCACTTATAAACATTTATTTGCATTACTTTGTTCAAGGAAAAATTACACAATTCCAAGTCAGTATCAGATGCACGAAGGGCCCCATATTATTCATGTGGTTACAAATTATCCTTGAAGCTATGTGTTTTGATTAGATATCAAGTCACACAGCCCCTTTGTTATTAAATAAAGACATAAGAACAAGCAGTGTTAGCACCATCAAAGGATAAGAGTTTTGGATTTTAATTTATATTTCTTTTATGTATGGTACTGGGGTAGGTACAAATACATTAATGTATGAGAAAGATACATGTACATAATTGGATACATTCATGCTAAGCCTGTTCATGTGCATGTACTTGCAGAGGAACGCATGTAAGGCCAGGTTTTGTTGTACATGCAGTACAAAACTGAGTTTATGTACATTTACATGAAAAACAGCTTGCATGCATATATCTTAGTTTGTGTGTATGACATGCCTACTGTTTGTGTACATGCACTTGAGAATGGAGGAGGGCTGCTGTAGATTCTATCACCAGACTTTGATTACATGTACCACTGAATTGCTGTTAACGTTCAACACCATCTCCTGCTGGTGTGTCACAGTGGACTGCTAAAAACAGAAATGAGGAAGTTATTTGTTTTCTTTGCTAACTTTAGGACTGGCAACCCCCATTTGCTATTGATGTTGACACATTCAAGTTCACCCCTAGAATCCAGAGGTTGAATGAACTTGAGGTAAGTTTGGATGCAAGTTGATTGGAAGTCCAGATACTATATTTTTCCTCTTGTCGCGCCCCAATGTTTTTAAGTTGGATTAAAGTGATCAGTTTCACTGTCATGAGTTATAAACTTGTCCAAAAACAAATTACATAAAAATGAAAATTGACTGTTTTACTGCTTTATACGTGTATTTTAATATATGTAGTCTACATGTATTTGACGAGGGAAAGCATAAAGGGCATGTGGGCTTAGCTCTAGAAATTGTTGGTTTGGTTTGGTTCGGTCCAGGTTGGGTTGGGTCTCCAATCTGCATTGTGCATGTGTGATCAGGTCCCTTGAAATGTAACCCATTGTCTGATTGTTCAGGTACACCTACACACAAAAGTTTTTTATGCCTCTGGTTACCTGACTGACCCTGTTTTTTACAATAAAATCAAAAACTTCTTATATTGTAAAAAACAAAAGAACAAAATCTGTTCTCTTTTCAGTCTTTACAAAATGCCTCTCAACCTTTTCATGTCAAAAACCCTTGTTTCGATTCATTTGCCTATTTACATTCGTTAGTTTTGAGAAGAAACTTCCATTATTTTCCGAAGTTCCTTTAGCTGTTCACTATCGCAGTGATGAAACACATGCATACTAATGCTGAATGTAGTAAGCAGTGCTGTACTGGTTCCCACCATGCCACTTCTAAAATTGTCAAAGAAGGCATAATAAAAATGCGGTAACCAGCCTATGCATGTGACCGACCAAGTAGTGTTATTACACCACATACAGCACTAAAGTTGCTGGTTGGAAAACATGACTGAAGAATACTTGAGCAAGTTCATTCACAGAGCTTAATCTCCCATTTCTGTGTATGCATTTTCCATGTTTATGAATTTATTTATTTGAGAAATTGCCACTTGTGCTCAGAGCAAGTGTTTCCACAAAATATCCTGGCCTTATAGGTGTACTGTACTTTGGGGGGAATTTATTCAATCAGTTTTTATAAATGAGGTGCAGTGCTACTTGTCATAAGTGACAAGCTCTAAATGTTGTCGTTGCAGGCCAAGACTCGTATCAAGCTGAACTTCCTTGATCAGATTGCCAAGTATTGGGAGCTTCAGGTTGGTACAGTGACACAAATCTCTCAGGCATGAGCTGTATTGGTTGTAGCAGCCGCAGGTTAATGACCACAAAATAGCCATAACCCCACGATTTTGCTCCTGTTCTTAATAGTGCACACTCCAAGGAGCACATAGCTCCAAGGAACATGCTTGGTCGTATTGAGTGGTTTGTGCATGATACATTGCAAAAGAGAAAAATGTGCACACAAATGTCAATGCAGACCACCCCTCACAATTGATGCCAAACGTTGTGAGTTTCTACATGTACTCTGCTCAAAAAAGTTAAGGACCACTTTTTATTTTGTGTATACTTACTATTATGTGAGATATTTTACTGCTGAAAATGTGCATTTGATGTTTTGAAACATTTTAAATTTTGAGAACAGCATCTAAATATACGTTGGGTAAGGGCAAACCCGTTATATATAATTAACAGCATCTAGACAAAACAAAAAAATGAAAGAACTAGGCCCCACTCTTTGCTTGGAAAAGATTACAAGTTAAGAAAAAAATGGTCCTTAACTTTTTTTGAATAGTGTTTGTGCTGAACTTGGTATCTTTCCTCAAGGGAAAAGAGTGTATTGCACAAATGTGTCAACAAACTCGCTGAACTTGGTAACATATGGTACATGAGAAACACATTGAGGTATCCCTAAACCAAGCCACTTGTATGTGTCTATAATACATAACTTTAAGCTTTAAATTGCTTTTAAAACTGGTGTACTGTATTGACTCTGTATTGACTCTGTCTACAGGGTTGCCGTTTAAGAATTCCCAACTGTTATGGCAAATCACTAGATCTGTACAATTTGTATAAGGTAAGACTTAGTAAAATAGCAAGCTTATTGCCAAAAAATGTATTTGGACAAGACAATGCAAATTTTTCAAAGAGCCGAGTAGCAATTCTTGAACATACATTAGTATGTTATGAAAGATACAGTTACTCGAAAAGCAGTTACAGAAGACATCTGTTTGCTTTGTCATACAAGGGATTTCCAAATGTTCCTACAATTTCACTTTTAAAAAAGGACAATGTGAAGTTTGATTTCTTTTGTAAAGGTTCCACTCTAAAAGTAAGGCTGTTGTGTGAGCTATTGAAAGAGTGGAATTATTTTATTTTTATACAAACCTTCAAAATGCACCATTGTGTCTCAGATAAACTTATTTTCAAATGGTACTTTACTGCCTTATGGTTTTTTGCTAATGTATTTACATATTCATGAGCAAAACTGTGATGTCATCCCAGGAAGAAAGCCTGTGTGTTGCATTTATTTGCACACAAAAATGTCCTGCATTTTTGTAGAGTTTGCTGGACTAAATTTCTCTTCTTTGCTAATTCATAGTTTGTGCATAGCAATAAGTGAGCACCAATCCCTTTCTAAGTAATGTTTTCAGTAAATAATTACTGGGTTCACAGTTTTAACAGAAAAAAACTATGCAATGCACTTTGCCTTCCCTGGGATGACATCACAGCAGCAGCACCCTCGGTTGTCCAGAAAAGCATAGCTATTTTAAGTGTTTAAAAAGGTGCCCTTTTCGGTGCATTAAACCAAATAGGAGAATAAAAGTTTTTTCATATGTCAAAGAAGAGTACAAAGTTGCAGAAAAATTGTACCTGAAAAAATTTCATTGTGGCTACACTTAAAAGAATGCGTGTTGCCACAAATTGTTGGAGTAGAACATAAGTACCAAGTTTTAGATTTACAGCACAATATGTCATTTCAGTAGTCAGACTCTATGCTTGGTAAGCAGAGAAAATGTGTGTGATTTAATACTGGCTGTCGCATTGTAAGGTGTGCCAGACATCACACACCAAGAAGGATAAATTGTAGCATTATTAGCTTTGTGAGCTATGGATGTGGTATGATTCATTTGACATTTAATTTTTACAGCATTGTCTTCTGTGTCTGTCCTATCAAGTCTTTGTGGCTTTCTTTGCCATTTACAGGTTGTGCACGATGAAGGTGGATTTGAGACATGCGTTCGAGAAAGGAAATGGAGCAAAGTTGCTGTAAAGGTACGTCTGTTATCCAGGATTTCTTTACTCTTCTGCTTCCTTGATTCCAGGGTGTTGAAAGTAGTTAGTCACTACCTTTGAATAGATAACTGTTACAACCATGCTTGAATGAATACTGTCTTGGGCATGTTTAGGCATAGCAGCAATAGTCACTATGGCTTGGTCTTACACCTTGGAGCCCTGAATAACGTAATAGAGAGTTGGATTTTAATTTGTTTACCACATATGTTGAATTCTCAACAGATGGGTTATGCTTCAAAGGCAGTTGGTTCACAGTTGATGAAGCATTATGAGCGTATTTTGTGGCCATACGACATCTTCCAAGCAGGAGCTACTCTGGATGCCCCATTGGTAAGGCATCTTTGTGGCAGGAACTTCAATGTACAACTGTTGTAAGCTACATGTACCAGCATGATACAGTGCATAATACCAAGATCATAGTTGATGTTCAGCATCATACATACAGGGCCCTAATTTCGACTTTTGGGGGGCACTGTCATTTTGGCCTCTAGAAATGGGATGTGTTAAGAGGCACAGCAGCCAATTACGGGTACAACACGAACATTTCTACAAAGGAAAGGCTCTGAGGCCAAGGTGTAAAATAGTCTGCAAAATGAGTTACAAAACTGGAAAAACAAAACATCGTGTTTTATTTGCTTGAACTATTGTATTTAAATATTTAATAAACCATGACAAAACAGTATACTTCAGGAAGGAACGGGCACATTTTCTGACAGGATTTCTTAATCTAGAGAATATTAATTCATAAAAAAGAATTCCAGTGAATTAAACCATAGATCAAACAAAGAGGACATGTTTTCTTTCAAGTTTGACGCATCTTTTTCGACTGCACAGTGTGAGCTTACCAACCAAATCCCCCTGCACTGTAAAGTTGACCAACCCATTACATCGCAGAATAATCAGTTACGCACATGTAGTTGAGTCTGCTGCATGCCTGTATATGCAGTTCCAAACTAGGGGGACAAAAGACCTAGCCGTACTTGTGGAGGCCCATTTCAGACACAGCCTAAGCCCATGTACGCATGTTCCAACCGGGTTGCTGCACATTATGCTGGGCTAGGCTGGCTGGCCCCACGCACCCGTACGTGCCTGCAGCCAATAATCTTCCTCCGAATGTCAAGCTGCAGAATGAAATACACGTCTATTTATATATTGTAAATGACACCAATTGCAGCACAGACAAGCCTCATCACCCTGTACGTCACTGTGGCATGGCGCACCAGGTTTGGAAGCTCAGTTGTCCTTGTCCCCCCCCGGTGTCAAGAAGATCATGTACCGGTAGACTGCAACATGAAATACATTCACGTGAATATGAAGTCAGAAACTTAAGGGAAAGAAAGGGTATTTTTTTCAGGGGCACCACTGTCGGGAAGAATGGGGCACACAGCCAGCTTTGACTGTGGACAAAATGGAAAGTTTCAGGGCACCGCGGCCAAATGTAAGAGCACCAACCGCCATGGCGGTAGTGGCCGTGGTGAAATTTCAATGCTCTACATAGACATATGAGCTTGACCTGTTGATGTAGAGATGTATTTTGAACTTCTGAGAGGTACAGTGCACATAAGAAGTGGGACAATAGACACAGGACAAAAACTCATTGTCCTACATACCAAGCTGAAATATCAATTTTGAAAAAAAAGAGCTGCATTCTCACAGCTTGTTTTGTTGACTTGGAACGAAACGGATTATTCTTTTCTTAGAAGCAGATTTACTTTTCTTGGCATTCTGTGTAATATGTCAAAATTAATCCTAATGTCAGGGCATGCTCCATTTAATTAGCTTTCTTTATAGAATAAATAGCTGATAGGAAACCATAACTCATTCTTTCCTCTTTCAGGTACTTCCTGAGGGGGATTCTAAGGATAAGGACTATGTTCCCCATGGTATCGTTTCTCGTCAGGCAGTCAAACCTGCTTCTGGAGCTGGCTACAGTAGAAGAGTCAAACGCCAAGCACCAGAAGTAAGGCGGATATAAGGGGTGCACTGTCCTGGATGCAGCCATCATTTCTTAGTTCATATTTCTGTTTGCCTTACCCCCTTTGATTCATTTAGCTCCACAGTTTTTTGACAAAGTGCATTATTTGGATTATAAACACAATTTTGTATGGATATGCCTGGCAAAGGTTTAGAAACACTGAGGCAGGGTATCATGTCAAGGATGCATTTGGCTTGGGTTTCTTTCATTGAAATTGCACTGTATTGGTTACATGACTTGGGATATATAACAGTATACCACAAGTAAAACTGAGCTCAAAATGTAATACATTTCTTTTGGATACCATAGGCCAAGCTCTTCTCAGCAACACCTGGGGTGAGTTCTTGATACTCGCTGTGTATAGTGATATTGCAGGTTGGAGGACCTGTTTCATCATGAAGTTGTTCTTACAATTTTTTTTCTTGGTCTAACTTGATGTGCAGGATCCCTTGAATGTGGACTTCAGCAACAATCCAGAATTGAAGAAGCTTCAGTTATATGGTCCTGGTCCCAAGTTCCAGGGGCTAGGTCTTGTGGCAGGCGGTGAAAAGAAATCAGGTAAATAAATCTCCAAAGATTGTAGCCTCTCAATTTAGCATCAATTGTCTTGTTTTGTGTGTGTGTGAATAGAGCCATAGTTTGATTATTTACTGTCAGTATTGAAGAAAGAAAGATTTGAGACTCTAGTTGTCACTAAGCAGGTTTTTATATGTTAGGGCTGTCTCGCACTTTATAATGCCATTTGGAAGTGAATATGGCATATTCGCATTGTAAACAGCAGTGTCAAAGTGTTCCCAGTGGCGTTCCAAATGACTCTGAATTTTCTTGAATCATGCTTAGCTTCAAACACCTGCATGTACATACATACTCTGAAGGAAGGTTTTTCTCATGATGAGAAGGATAATCAATTAAATTGGTGGCATCTGTTTTCTTGAGACTCTAGTCTTACCCAGTGAGTTTGAATCACTCAGAATCACTTACAAAAAGTGATCAGCTGGAAAAGAAAATAACACACTGTTTCATATTTTCAGAAATCTTGTTCAAAGAAGAGGAGAAGCCAGCAAAGTTGGATATGCCAAAGGAAACGGATACTAAAATGAGACGATCTTCTCCCAGAAAACATGAGGATAAATCGGCTGGAACAAGCATGACTATGAGAGATCGCTCCAATGTGCTCAGTGCAAGTTTCGTAAGTGGCCACTGGCCAGGATTATCTCATTTGGTCTCGTGTAATGACTGTTGAAAAAAAAAACGCCAACCTGACCTCCGCATCCAGTTACCCAGCTTATTTTATTTGTTACAAGCAAATAGAAGGGCCCAAGGCAAAGTCTGCCAGTATTTTGCACCAAGATAAAAACATTCAAAAATGGAGTAACGAGCTGTCTAGGCTTTAGCGGTAACTTGGGTATGATAATCGTGTGTAGTCAACAATAAATGTTTTTTGAAGACTAAACTCTACCATAAGTCTTTAATGATGATGTTTTCTTGAATGTTTTGGGCTATGTGGGTTACAAGAAACTATGCTCCCAAACACCAAAGCTGCACTTCATTTGATGTAATGCATTGATTACCAAATGGTGTTCCTCTTGTGACATACTAACATGACACATTATCTTGTGATCTATTATTTGATTCATGTGATGATGGAAAGTTTCCTGTGCTTGTAGATTGAGAACTATGTTTGCCGGGGTTGTGGACGTGGTGATGCTGAAGAAAGCCTTCTCCTGTGTGATGGCTGTGATGACAGCTTCCATACTTTCTGTCTCATCCCTCCTCTCTTTGAGGTGCCTAAAGGAGATTGGCGATGTCCAAAATGTCTCGTCCAGGTCTGTATACTTTCCTATCTTTTTGATGTTGTGCAGCTGTTATAGTAAGCCGTATGTATGCAACTCTGTGCTAAAAGGTGTTCCTTCAGTAATCTAGTTCCCTGGCCAAAGTTTCTCTGACGACTCTTGATAAAAAGTCTTAGGTCAGGCATCATCCGCGGATATAAATAGATGTGACGCGAGGGTCAGGGGTCACAAGTTGAAAACCCAGGTGTTTTCGATATCATTACAGTGCTTCACCCTGTATGTGTGGGCATTTGCCAGTCATCATCAGGCCCTGATTCTTTCTATATTCTCCTCTAGGGATATTACTGAGGAGACCTTCAGGATAGTGATGTGTAAAGTCAAATATTGTAGGATCAACAGCTGCCATTAGGATATGGGAGTTTACGTTAAACAGCTAGCCTGCCTAACCGGCCAGGAATAACTGAACATCAACGATACCGTCCCAACATGCCAAATATAAGATGAGACGACTTCAGAATATTCAGACTATTTCCGGAAAACTGGAGGAATTCCTCTAATCTTGGTCACATGGACACTGGGTGATACCGGACCCTTGATCCATAGAGAAGTCAGAATGATATGGTCTGGTGTCCAGACTATTCCTTCAACAGTGAAACCATATAGCACTTACATCTGTACGCTGTATGTAATACTTGCATTGTAAGCAATGATTGTAGCAAGTGGTAATAGTGCCTTCAAACAAGCGAGGTGGAAGCTTTCACTTTGAAACCAGTTCCTACCCTCTCTTTTTGAAGTCTGGAATGTAATGGAGGTTAGAAAATTAATGTAATTTCCTCTGTTGCAGGAAATTTGCCTTTTCTGGCCAGCAAATTTATGTTCAATATACATAGGTTTTACTCATGCCAAGTGCCACATAATGAAGTGTCTTTGTTAGTTTCTGCAAAGTAACTTGCCTCCGCTTGGAATAGTATTCTAGGGCATTCCAAAGCACTGTTAAATCTTTCTAAGTCTAGATTTGAATTACTTTGAAAATGTATGCTATTCAAGTCTTTGGTGTTCCTATGCTATTAAATAATACATACAGGGAAACTAACTAGGTTCTTACATGATAATTGTAAAGATGACCAAAGAAAATGACGAATGGGATTTGAACCCATGACTTCTTTGGTATATACATGCTCAACTTATGTGTATTTGTAGTGGAAGTATTTGCCATGTTGTCAGGAAAATTGCAATTTGTATTTATGCTGAGAATGAACAGACTTTAAGCCTTTTTTAATCTCGGGACTTTGCCTACATGTTTTAAGTCTTGTTTTTCTCTATTGGATCAAGGCCTGTCGAGGCTTTTTAGAAGAGCTCTTACTGTCAGTTGAATGTTTTGAACTCTCCCTGAATTATACTTGTTATTTCTAGCTGTTTAAATGAGTGTCGTAACTAGAAAAAGGACTCTTGTTTTTTTCCCATAGGAATGTAAAAAGCCAACTGAATGCTTTGGCTTTGAGACTGCTCGCAAGCAGTACACCTTGCAGTCATTTGGAGAGATGGCTGACCAATTTAAGAGAGATTACTTCACCATGCCAGTTCATGTAAGTCAAATTTGTTTTTGTCTCGTGATGTAAAAAGATGTCTTTTGTCGAAACTGTTGCAGTACTTTGGGCATTTCCAGCTGTTTGCACAAAGTATCATACAAATTATCTCAAGTTTATCAAATCCAGTAATTTGCAGTAACATATTTTTGCATTGTTTTGACCAGATTTGGACATGAAACCCTCTGATTGTTAAACCCAGCTTTTCATTGTAACAAATCTTATTTTTTTTCCTTTTGTGCATTTTAGATGGTGCCCCCAGAGACTGTTGAGAAGGAGTTTTGGAGACTAGTGACAGCCATTGATGAGGATGTGACAGTGGCCTATGGTGCTGACATCCACTCTCTGGAACTTGGCAGTGCCTTCCCTAACAAAAAGAGCAAGTGCATTGGGGAGGACGACATGGTAAGATCCCGTTGCTCTCTTGAATTGGCAGTGTCAAGCAAACTTGGCTTGGCGTTGCACACCTGAGAAGGTTCCTCTCAATGGTAGAAGCATGGTTTCAGCTTAAGAGATCAGCAATGTGTATATGTGTAGGCACCAGTGCCTCCACTTCACCAGAGGTGTTCTTTATATGCAGTGATGTACAAAAAGCCCTTAGTGCTGATGTGAGTCTATATCTGCATTCAGAAATGTGGAAACAGACATATACACATCTTTTGTTTACTTGGATGTGTATGAAGTATCGCCATCTAATTTTTGTTTTGCTCAGGAATATGTCAACTCTGGTTGGAACCTCAACAACCTGCCTGTCCTAGATGGCTCTGTTCTAAGCCACATAAATGCTGACATCTCTGGCATGAAAGTACCCTGGATGTATGTTGGCATGTGTTTTTCATCTTTCTGCTGGCATAACGAGGACCATTGGAGCTATTCCATCAACTACCTGCACTGGTAAGGGGGATCACTTTCTAAATATCAAACACTAGCCAATACTGGATTTGATACAACTTGCCAGGCAATGGATGTGTGGTTCTTCACAGGCAGTAGAAACTCACAAGGTTGCTTCTGTGCCATTTGGCACAATTGAAAGCAAACAAGCAGGTTTTGCACTTGGAATCTGAACATGCAGTGTAACAAGCTAGCCATTCAAGTGATAGTGGAGTAAAGTTTATTGAGTCAAGGGCATTATCCAGATTTCTGTATATTTCAGACCATTTTTTATCAGATCATTTATTTATCAAAATTTTTCCGTGGTCTTTTCTTGTTTCACTGGTATAGTTATTGTCATGCAAACAAAACATGGAAATTTAACTCTTTGTACATTCTCTTGTGACCATTTACCTGAACAAAAGTGGATTTGCCCAGTCAGAAATGTGAACGATACACAAATGTGAAGTCAAGAATCTTACAACTAGATCTAAATTTCCTAATACCTCGACAGTGTAATGCACATAGTTGTTGTCAACAGTGTATTTTCTGTAAGCGGTACATCTGCAAATATGCTTGAATTTAATTAAATTAAATTAAATACAAGATGAATCCAACCAAATTACCAGTAGTACAGGGCAGTTATGAAAAGTGATATTTCTAAATTCACAATTTGAACAAGTAGCATTTGTTTCACTTTGTAAAAATTGAAGGAAAGATTAACATCCTCAAAACATGGAGGTATACTCCTGAGTTTTGGCCTTCATTGATAGAAGCCGAAGCATCCCCTCAGCAGTTGAAAAGAGCCGTGTTGGTCGGGAGTGTTCATTTCTTTGGTAGTGCTGCGACCGTGCATTTCCTAGTCGATCAGGAAACAGCAAAAACCAGTTCCAACCAAAGGAGCCTCCATTGCTAAGAAAATAGCACCCTCTCTTGGCCCAGCTCGGGGCCCATAGCAAAAGGTGGAAGTTTGAAACTATTAGGAGCAACCAGGCATGCCTGCAGGCGAAAGATCGACACCCATGGTGACACCAGACCAACTTGGTTTCAAACATCGCTCTTTGCATAGCCTGAACCCAGTGTAAATATATGTATTAAGTTCGTCTGTCTGCAACCAAAATTTAATTGGGTCAACCAGAGTCGCTCTTAGTTCTATTTGGTTCGGCGCGACCCTAGAACACCTGTCTGAAAAAGCTGTAAGATTGTGTGAATAAATGCCTGACTTTACTTATTTGCTGTGCATTATTCATACAGGGGTGAGCCGAAGACTTGGTATGGTGTGCCAGGTGCATCAGCAGATCACTTTGAGCGTGTCATGAAGGAACAAGCCCCTGAACTCTTTGATGCCCAGCCTGATCTCTTGCAACAACTTGTAACCATCCTATCCCCAACCATCCTTATGAAGAGCAATGTACCCGTGAGTTTATTCATCTCTGTTAAAAAAAACTTCCGCAACATTGTGACCACCTTCTGGGTCAGATTGATTCAATGTAATCTTTGTGAATGGTCACTAAAATCAGACGAGCAGTTTTGCATGTTGTAAAAGATATTTTTTTTTGCCATTTCTAGCTTTTTATTTCACACTTAAGAATGCAAATCAATTCTAATTATTCAAAACGTCACTGTTTATTTCGAAGTAAGGTATAGCAGCTGTGAATGAGCTTTTTTTTGGAATTGTGTTAACCCTATACCAAACATGATGGATAAACGTACGATACAACTACGCTTCCAGCTTGTCAGGACGAATCAGTGTGCAGGGGAGTTTGTTGTAACTTTCCCACGAGCCTACCATGCTGGTTTCAACCAGGGATACAACTTTGCTGAAGCTGTCAACTTCTGCCCAACTGACTGGGTATGTAATCTGAGTTACCAGTAGACTGGTTTCATAGTGTATTTGGATTCTGTAATGCCCATCTCTTAAGGTGAAATGACACGTCGGGATAAATTATGCTTACATAATATCAGTATGTTTTTAAACATTGATTTTGAAAGGTACCTTAGTGATTACACTTATTCGTCATAAATTAATGAATCTGCAACATGGCCCACAAGTGACGATCCAACACTGATTTTTTTTTCATATTTATTTTTTTTAAGGGATGGGCCATGTGGGGTTAAGTTGACGCTATATGATAGTTTTTAACTGTCTTACAGTAAGTTGAATTAACCCCACTCTTATTTAATTAAAGAAGCAAAAAATGGCGTTTTCTGTGTGCTTTTTTCAGTCTCTGCCTGGGCTCTGTACAAAAATTTATCGAATCAGACAAATCTTGGCAAAATTGTGATGTCATAGGACAGACTCGACTTTCCAGACGAGAATGTATAGTTCTGGCAAGAAAATTGAAGCAAGAACAATAAAACTCTCAGCTCTGGTTGGTAGTCAGATACATAACTCGTACATGTCAAGTCAACCACATTTGGTCTTGTTTCCTATGACCTTCTCTTAACACGGGACAGAGTCATTGGAAAACTAACTTGACGCGCCACGTGCATTTTGCTTCGATCGTATGTGCACGTCAAATAACCAACGGCAGGACAATTACGTCTTTTCAGTTAGACAAATTTTTATAGTGGTGCAGGGAAAATTCATTACCAGTCAGTGTTTTGTTGTCAATCCTCCGGGTTGCCACCATGCCCGTGGCCAACAGCCTTGAGGTGCAAAATCTCTTCCTGAGTATATTCTGGTTCAAACTAATAAGGCAATATTTCTTGTGCCTCATCAATTCCTTCAATGTTGCTTTCTTCGTCAAATGAATAAGACGAATATAACAACTGATCGCTGTCATGTTCGGAAAAAGCATCATTGCTGGAATTATTGTCGATTGAGTCTGACATGATGGCACATGCTAACGTTACTGCATTATGTACATGTCGACGCATCGTTGCGTAGTAAACAGTCACCGGATAAAGAACTCCATCCTATGACATCAGGATTCTTGGGAATTTCTTCAGACAACTTTTGGTACCCGACTGCTGTTGTTGAGCTTTTGCTCCAAGAAGGGAGTGAGATAGGGTCGTGAAAATTATAATTTTTGACATATTTCCATGCATTTTGAAATAATGCAGATGTGTTTTCTTTTAGACGTATGTTTGTTTTATGTGATGATGTATGTTTTACAAGAAATCTTCCCAGCACGACCCATCCCCTTTAAATTGTTTTTTAATATTTTCCACTGTTTGTAGCATTTCTCGAAGCGAAAAATGGTCAGAAAATGTCAAGACAGCCAACCGTAATATTCCATGGAATTTCAATTTCCCAAATAAACTATGGGGAAACTGTTTAGAAATGTTGAAATTGAAGTTGCTAGTGGATGGGAGCAGAGAAAGAGATTCACCAATGGTATTTGAACATGGAAGTAAAACATACAGAAGAAAAAGCATAGCGCATCATGTGCCAACAGATTATATATACCCTTTCACTGGTAAGCCATTGCCAGCCACACAGAAGGGCAACATGAGTTCTTACACTTTTGCCAGCAAAATAAAGGCCAGAATCTTTCAACAGAACAAGTTAGTTGATCAGGAAAAAGGAGCAGGACACTCGGATGTTTTTAGCCATTGGTGTTCATTATGTGCAGGCATGTTTAGTCTGATCCTGTACGCACATATTTTACCCATATTTTCTGGTAATTTATGCCTGCTTTACCGGCTGACAAAATTTTCTTGTCCTGGATTGAGAATCTACTAACATCGCTTTTTTTTTTTTTTTTTTTTTACCTAAACTTGGTGCAGCTTCCCAATGGTCGCGATTGCATCGAGCACTACCGCAGCCTCTGCCGCTTCTGTGTCTTTTCCCATGAGGAGTTGGTCTGTAAGATGGCTGCTGATCCTGATAGTCTAGACCTTAACTTGGCAGCTGCTGTTCACAAGGAAATGCTGATCATGGTGGAACAGGAGAAGAGATTACGCAAGAAGCTACTAGAAAGGGTAAGTGGCCGGGGCTAGTCGAAACACTGTGTAGAGTCGAAATTTGGGCCAATTCCCTTAAGCCCTAACCATTTTTATTTCATTGTATTAAAAGATCATTGCATTCATTTATTTTTTATAAGTTGTTCAGTTTATAAACAAACTTCACAGCTGCATGGCTCAGTGGTAATGCTGCTGAGCAGAAACTTACAATAGCTGCTTAAGAAGTGTTGTTTGGCTACCAAAGGCTGGTCTGCTTATTAACGGCAGCCACCGCGACCAAGCTGTATTCCTCTTTTGGTATATATATGTATTTCCATGTCCATGTCTTTATTTCAATGCCTCTTCTCAATTTTTAGCAGTCAATTCAAGTGCAATTTTACAATGGACACTTGCCAGGCACAAGCATCTGTAGCTGGTCCATGTGGGCTTTTCATATCCTCAAAATATCCTCTTCAAAACTTCAGAGCGCTGTGGCAGAAGTCATTTTATTGTTTCTGGCACTTAATACTTGGAATGTTGTATCCAAAGAAGTGCATGCATACTTACCTTTACCCAATTACAATCCAATTTTGCCAGTGCTTAAAGTAAGTTTGAAATCTTGAGTTTGTTTTCGGATTAGTTGGCCTCGGTGTCCGTTCACCTAACCTTGATTCCTCGCAATTTTCATAACCCCATGACCTAAGTAGCCTATCTCTTTTTTCCTTAATGTCGAGGCCTGTAAAGGCTGTGCTATGAGTTGCCCATAGGCATAACATGTAAACTATGGTACACTAAAAAAAAACGAAGGTATGAGGGGCTCGACAGTAGGAGGGCTAGTCAACTTTGAACAGCACTGTAAGTCTTTGGGTTGTGTTAAGATACTAAATGATACAGCAAACCTAGATAGGCTCAGTTTTACCTTAGTATATATGATTTGTCTTGCTGTTGTAAAGGGTACAACTGAAGCAGAACGTGAAGCCTTTGAATTGCTTCCAGACGATGAGCGACAGTGTGACCACTGTAAGACCACATGCTTCCTGTCAGCTATTACCTGCCCCTGCACACCCAACAAGTTGGTGTGTATCCATCATACTGACCGACTCTGCCAGTGTCATCCCTCCAAACATTGCCTCAGGTAGGGTATGCCAACTGCAGCGTCTCTCCCTCTCAAACCTTCAGTTGATCAGTTGCCCTTTCGTTCTGTTTTTGCCTTGCCTTGGGTTTGAGTGCATCCATAATTTATGTTTAAATGTTGATTCAGAGCACAGTAACCATCACCGTACTATTAGTGTTGTAGTTCACATTGCCAAGTGGTATACAGTGCTGCATGCTACATGGTACAGTGTACTTGCATTTGAAAGGATTTCTAGGCAGTTATTGTGGTACACATGGGTTAATAGTGTATGAAAAGACAAATACAAAGTGTGGTTCGTTGTGATTTGTAATTAGTTTAGGAGTAAGGATTAGTATCAGGAACAGTTTCTAAGGCCATTCTAAATCTATTGATATGTTTTGTAGAAGGAAGGAGAGTACACCTGTTGCAATTTCATTTGTTTTTCCCCCTCACTAGATATCGATACACACTGGATGAACTGCCGGCCATGTTGCATCGACTCAAGGTCCGAGCAGAATCCTTTGACAACTGGGCCAACAAGGTGAAGAATGCCCTGAATGCGTCACAAGACAACAAATTAGGTGGGCAGTTACTGTCGAGTAGAGTCATTGGTCCTTGTCAGTAGTGTGATATCCACTGTGCTGTAATGCTGTACCGTTTTTCTGATAAAAGGAAACATTTCCTGTAGAATTTTTTCAGCATTCCAAATTCCATTATGCCGTCTTAAGTTTTTGGAGGTACAAGCTTTATACAGTGCATTAGTATCATCACATTTGTGAAATAAAAAAGCAAACAAATATCACCTTGCAGCCACCTAGGTCACCTTGTAAATTATTTTCTTCCTGTCGAAACCTCTCGTCATTACATACTTACACAGCCTGTCGCCAGCTGTGGTCATTCTTGCTTCCACAAAGCAATGAATTCACTGAGTGTGCTTGCATCACTTCTCACATCCCAATGCCCCTCAGTATTCAACAGAACTGTGCTAACTTATTTCCCTGTTTTGTCAGTAGATGTTAGTCAGCTCAAGCAGATGATCATTGAGGCAGATGAGAAGCGTTTCCCTGACAACGAGCTTCTTCAGCAGTTGGTGTCAGCTGTCACAGAAGCCGAACGTTGTGCTACCATAGCCACACAGCTTGTCAGCAAAAAACACAGAACCAGGTGTGTATAGAAATCTCCATGTTTTCATAGCAAATCAGTGGTCCTTTCTGGTAACATATTAGGGGTTCAAATCATAAAGTCCCACCCAAAAGAAGTTTTCAGATTTCTGTCTGAGGTGTTACACAGATCACTTTTTATTTATACAGATGTAGACCCTTTTCACCCAGTGACTGGATTGCGTTAAATGTAAACAATACCACCATGTGTGGACCGCCTTGGCCACAGCAATCGCATATATTCCTACAGTCAGCTTCAACTATGTGCAAGTGCACGTGTGAACGCTGCATGCTTGACTAGTTTATCTTGGATAGGTAGATTACCCTCACAATACTATACACTCATTACCATCACAACACTACATAGGTCGAGCACGATCATGAAATCGCAGGAAAAAAGGTTTATACGCCGTTCAGTTATTCAAATACAGTTATTTTGCAAGGTTATGGAAATGAGGCATTATGAATCGATCAGTAGTTTTTCTCGAAAAGTTTCTGGTGAACTTTCAAGCCTCAGTGGAGCTGCTGTCACGTTGAAGCCTACATTGGGACTAAAGCAGTTTCATATTGCAGTCCCCACAGTGAGGTATCGAGGCAGATACAGATAACTGGCATTTTCATTGCTTTGCTTGTGTTCAGTGTTTTTAAACATTGAACACATGCAAGCAACTTAAGTACCATTTCATGTATATTATGCAAAATGGACTGTGGATATAGAGTAAGCACATCCCAATTCCTGTGAGTAGTACGGATCAAATAACAGTGAGGAGTCAAAGTTAACTGATAGAATAATTCACTGGCCAGAATCAGAAGCAATTATTGCATTGGCTATACATCTGCCTAAATGTCCCTTTTCAGCTGTAAGTTGTGACCTGCCAAAATGCATGCGCACTTCAAGTATAGGAATATGTGACAAATGAACGCTGCAGTAATGGCGTCTCCATGTGGCTGTGTTTATCAGTTCCTTCCTGACCCATTGATTTTGTAGACAAAGGCAGCATGGTGATTCGAAGTATGTGACCCGTTTGACACTTGAGGAACTGAAGGACTTCATGGTACAGGTCCAGGGGCTACCCTGTGAGATACAAGAGGCTGAACTCGTACAGGTACTTCAGCAGTGCAGTCTCATGATTTGGATTGCAGTTTGCCAATAGTCGTGCACCAGTGTTTAATTTCTCTGAAGAAGAGAATTTTATTGGGGGATTCTCAGAATTCTGATTGTTGTAACTGAAGATTCTAAGTAACGGCTCTGTTGGAAGCATTTCAGAATGTCCTAGTTTTAAGAGAGTGGGTCTATATTGTCATAAGGTGAAGAGATATCAATCATGCATAGGACAGTTTCATTCAACCTGAAAATGACATGTGAACGGTATTATGTTGAAAGAGCTATCTACAGACATTAAAACCCAGCCATTTATTCCATTTGAGTTTGCAAACACTATTAAGTCAGAAGGTCTGAACTAGTATTGTCTGATTACCTTCCAGGACCTGCTTAGGAAAGTGGGAAGGTTCCAGGCAGAGGCCCAGGATGCCCTGTGTGATACAATTCCAGACTCTGACAAGCTTAAACGGCTGATTGAAGTGGGTAAAGGCATCGACATAGAACTCCCAGAAATACCCAAGCTCAAACAGGTTAGTTAAACATCCACAAACTGGCAGACTTGTTTAATCATTGGAGGCAGTGAATGCTGATTTAACATTTTGCCGTGTTTCCGTTTTGTGTGAAGTGCCCATGTAAACAAGTTCCTTTTCCTGTGACAGTCTTGACTGAAATTGATGTTTAGTCCTGTAATTCTGTTCTATGAGGCAAGATGTCTTAAAGTTTCTTATTGATTTATCATGTGTTTTGATTTTCTTCACTACCCAGGAGCTATCGCAGGCTCTCTGGCTGGATGAGGTGCGTGCTACCCTCCAGATCCCAAATAGTGTGACCCTTGACACCCTACGGAAACTTATCGACTCAGGTGTCAGTCTGGTACCACATCCTGCTGTGGAGAAGGCCATGGCAGAGTTACAGGAGTTGCTGACAGTCAGTGAGAGATGGGAGGAAAAGGCTAAGATTTGTCTGCAGGCAAAGTAAGTGAGAAATCTGGAAGTAGCTCTCTGTAAAACCCAGTGGGGCCAATTTCGTAGAGATGCTTTAGCACAAAATTTTCTTAAACGCAAACAACCTTGCTCGTTAAGATAAGGCTACCAGCAAACCTGTGTGATGTACATTGCTTTCGACCAGTATTTAGCTGCTGTTTGTTTAACATGACAATCGCATGGAGTTTGGGCTGGTAACCTTGCTTATCAAGCAAGGTTTTTTCACACTTACGCAAGTTTTGTGCTTATGTGGATCAGTAAGCCTTGCGTTGGAAATACCTCAAAAGATGACTGAGAGAGTGTAATCACCAGGTGCTTCTTGACATGTTTGTCAGGCCTTGAATGTACTTTACATTGATGGTGAGACCTTTTCCTCCTTCGATAAAAGCCCCATCAAATAATGCAATGTCATCTCCTTTTTTCAATTCCAATAACAGCAGCAAAGTCTGTTGTAAGAAATTGTGTTTGCCATACTCCTGAGGAAAAAATTTCATGTAGAGTTAATCATCAGGAAATGTTGAGTAAACATTGGAATCTTTACTGTTTCATGTACCACATTTTCTTCCTTGAAATTGGAACCACATTTTCTAAATGAAAATTTGCACAATCTTCTTGAAGTTGCAAATGCTCCTATCTTACTAATTCTCTTCAAATCTTACTAATGCTCCTATCTGTGGCTAGGAGGCAAGATTTGAGAGGTACTAAGGCTAAGACCTAGGGTAATTACATGAGTACGTGGAAATTGAACACAGACAGTGATTCAAATTTAAAATAACAGAAAAAAATGCACCTTACAATTTTAATAGTTTGGGGAAATTCCCAAACCTGCTGGCAGTAAGTTGCTGATACAGTGTCCTTGAAGCAGTGCTCTGAGCAGTATAGTACTACAGGCATTTGAATGGAACCGATTTCTGCTCGCAATAGACCTCGTCATGCTATGGCCACTTTGGAAACTATCATCAATGAAGCTAGGAATATACCAGTCTACTTGCCCAACACTGCTGCTCTCAGTGAAGCCCTGAAGAAGGCTAAAGAATGGACCAGAAAGATGGAAGAGATACAGGTAGGTAGTGACAGTAGTACTTGCATGACGTAGCTCAGCATTACTGTGGTTTGGTTTTCGATTGATGATTGCAGACAGATAACAGAAACTTGGAGAGCTCCAATTTGAATTGATCAAGTGAAGCAAGTATTTTTTTTTAAGAGTTTGATTTTTGGTACTAATTCTTTTCACCCGAAAAGTGTTTCTTCTGAGTTATAAAAAGTGCTGGTGGTGTGACCTGTGCTTAAAAATGTACTACAGCACATTTCCTTACGAATAGATTCATGGAATTCATTTTGTAGATTATGTTTATTCTTTTACTTGTTCTACTTCAGAATGGAGAGCACTTTCCTTACCTGGACCTGCTGGAGAGCATGGTGGTGAGTGGTCGTCCGATACCCATTCGTCTGGAGCAACTGCCCCAGGTTGAGTCACAGGTGTCAGCAGCCAGAGCATGGAGGGAGAGAACAGCCAGGACATTCCTCAAGAAGAACTCACCATATTCACTGGTTGAGGTTAGTTCAGCATTGCATGGCAGGGGTTAAAATTAACAGTGGTCCGAGGACAGTGGAAATACACACTTTACTTACTTTACATAAGGTCATTATGGTCATAAGCTGTTTTGTTCAGTGTTTTCACAACGCGTGTAGCACTCATAACAAAATACCATTGTACTACCCAAACTGGAATTTTAGTCTACTGAACACAGTGAGAATGCAGTGTCAAGTTGGCTGCATACACAGACCTCAAACCATATGCTGCTTGCACAGATCTGTGAAACAATGTCCAGTGTATGTGTTAATCGAATCGTTGTACTTGACCACAAATTCTCCATACATGTGCATGACGGTAGTCAGACTTGAACCAGGCCTTCCACCTATCGTCATTATCATGGTGAACTATTTCGAGTATGTGTGCAGCTCGTGGCATGTTTTATCACTCAAAAGTTTAGTTTAATTAAATTTACAAACATGGCAATTTTTTCTGAAAGGTGTTAACCACTTGCTACTGGGAAGCCTGGTTTCGGGCACATATTCTTTATGTGCACAACCTCTGAAATCGGGGTCTCTGAAATCAGACAAAGGGAACTGGGCCTTGTAACAAAAGACCTTACCCATAACAAAAGACCAGGCTGCTGGGAATTACCAACATTTTTTCACATTTTTTTGAAACAGTATACCGTTGTTTGGGGCATTCAGTGCGAGTAGATTACCACCGGGGACAAAAGCGCTCTACCCCCGCAGCGATAAGCCACAGAGTAGTACCGCTGCACACTAACCTGGCCCCTATTGAAAGAGGTCAGCAGCGCACTGTGCCAGTTTCACGATCAAAAGAAAATACTTAACACTGCACAATCTGGGCTCTTTTTACAAGGCGGCAGGCCTGGCTAAAATACTCCAGCGTCAATAGATGTTGTTTGTCAGATTAGAGTAGAAACCAGACAGTTTTTTGTGTGGGTGTAAGTGTCCAGTAAATGAAAATATGAATTCTTAAAGAATTTTGAAAACAGAAAAATATGAAAAAGATCCCATGCCAGCAGAATCAACAGTCATAAATGCCCCCGGCATGATGTGGATAATCACCCTTCAACAAAGAAGACAAAGTCTTCCTGGACAAAAGAATGGGACTGGCTAGAATATGATGAGAGTAGCCATGTAATGCACTGTGTATGCAGTTGGTGTGTTGAGTTTACTGTAGGACAAGGTTGATAGCATATCATTGATTGTTACTAGCAGCACCAATTTCAGATTGGATTCAGTTAAGACCACCAAACTCTCAGAAGTACCAGTGGGATTATTTATGTATTGGTCCTGCTGGCTACCACAAAACAAGTTAATTTGACCCTTGCATGGATATTTGAAACTGTTGACCATATTACCAGTGTTTCTGTGTCATTTATACATGTAGTTTACAGCCATCATTGCTGTTTGACAAGATCAAGTAACAAGACTAACAGTAAAACAAAAGTCTGCACTTGCCGGAACATAATCTTAACTTGTTTTGTAACATTTCTGTATAAACTTGAAAGCTTATTATCAGCACTAACAATCACATTTTCTAGCAACCCATTGAATACACCTGAACCACCACCATAGCCTTAACAGTCCCAAATCCTCCAATTTCAATATGATTTTACATATCTAGGGGGTTAGGGTTAACAAAGTTATCTGAAAAACTTGTGAAAATTGACGAGTTGATCGAAATTCTTCAGCCAATAAAGTGGTTAATACTAACTACAGAAATGTATTGGATATTTACAAAATAAAAGAAATTCAAAGAAGTCTGCGCTAGTATTCCTAGAATTCAAGTTGAAACCCTGCCAAGATGATAGTCATTATTTTGGATTCAACAACATTGAAGTTGTAATTCAATCTGAAGGTGGCAAATGATATTTTGATACAAGCACCGTTTATTTGTATGGCTGTCATTAATTCTTGTTACTTCATCTTTGATAGCTTCACATCCTTTCCTTGGCTTTTTCTTGTCAGGTACTCTCACCAAGACGGGATATTGGTATCTACCAGTCAAGCAAGGCACGCAAAAAGAAACAAAAAGATCTGGAAAGACAAAGAGAGATGGAGAAAGAGTATGCAGTAGAAGTCAACACAGATGAGACTAGAGACCCTGCAGCATTTGTGAGTTCTTGTACAAATACAGAGTTTTCTAGTCCAGTAATTGGTAATCAGATTTTGAGTTGTGTAAGAAGATTGATTGTAGTACACACTGACCATCAGAAATCTATGGTCAGTGCCTTCCAAGCTGAGCCATGTAATCCCGGTTTTGGTCTTTCAACTGGCAACTTCTTTGTTGATGGGGAATGTGTAATGGATACTCTATTTGCAATCTGCCTGGGTACTATGGCTATAGTCCATCAATGTTAAGGGCTTGTAATATGAGAAGAATATTGGCTACGGCCAATGATGTCGGCTTCATTGTGCATTTTTTTCTTAGTCAATCAGGCTGCCTCCTTAAAGGTATGAAGAGATCTGTCTGTTTCAAAGAGATTCTTTACTGGCCAGATTACTAAGCACATATGTCACCGATTCTTCAAATATATCATATTACGGAAAGAAACAGCTTTGGTTTTGTTTTTCTCTTGATGTATTTGCCATCAGGTGGCAGGGTACAAAGACAATGAGGCCCGAGAGATTGAATTGATGCGTTTACTGCGAGACAAGAACCGTCGCAAGCAACAAATGGAGGAGGAAGGCATGGAGCAGGGCAAGTACTGTATTTGCCGCAAGGGAGTGGGTGGCTTCATGCTGCAGTGTGAATTATGCAAGGATTGGTTCCATAATACTTGTGTGCCCCTGCCCAAACCAAGTACCAGCAAGAGTAAGTTTCTGACTTCAGTTGGTGGTGGAGCTTCAACAGCTGTGCAGCAGCCCCAGGTACGTGACATGAAGTTCTTGTGCCCTATGTGTTTGCGGTCACGCCGACCTCGTCTGGAGACCATACTGTCCTTGCTGGTGTCCCTCCAGAAACTACCAGTAAGGCTACCTGAAGGAGAGGCCCTGCAGTGTCTGACAGAGCGTGGTATGAGCTGGCAGGACCGTGCCCGCCAGGCCCTTGCAACTGAGGAGTTAGCATCAGCATTAGCCAAACTCTCTGCAGTGAGTCAGCGCATGGTTGAACAAGCTGCCAAGGAGAAGACTGAACAGATCATCTCAACAGAGCTCAAGAGGGCAGCTGGTAATCTGGAGCTGCAGGAGCACATGCAGGGTACCTCACAGAGTGCATTGGACAGGGAGGCTCAGCTTTCCACTGATGTTCATGCCTCATCCATTCTCCATGGTATGCCACCTGTACCCACTCAACCTCAACCTAATAGCCATACCACAGCAAGTGATGACCCACCTTGCCCTGATGAAAACAACACCACACCATTAGCTATGGACACCGAAATCCTTCAGCCACCTCACATGGTTGGACTTGAAGAGACCATTCGGGACACTACAGCTGAGCAAGAAGATGCTTACCCTCCCCCCGATATCTCGGATTCTGATATGCCTCCTTCAGATCAGCTTCCTGACACTGAACATACCTACAGTGCCATTTCTAGCTCTGAGCATGCATACAGTGCTGCCCCCAAGCCAAGCCTGGAGCCAATACAGCAGCGCAAGCACTCTCGGAAGTCTCCTATAATTCCAAGACCTGTGGAATCGCCTGTGCTGGAGCTGTCACCAATGGTTAAGGCACAGCTAGAGGATCTGATGATGGAAGGAGACCTTCTGGAGGTATCACTTGATGAGACACAGCACATCTGGCGCATCTTACAAGCTTGCCAACCAATAAGAGAGGAACGTTTCATGGAACTCTTTGTGCAGGTACTGGTTAAATTAAGGATAATCCAGGGTCTAAGCCAAGTGTTCAGCAAATATTCAAAAAGGGAGGGCAGCCAAGTTTTATTGTCAAAATCTTTTTAAAGTGGTTTCCAAACATTAGTTAACAATTGATGTAGTCAGTGATTAGTACTGTTTTCACAGTGGGAAGGCAAATAGGTGTTTCATATTCTGGAATGTGTTCTTATAAAACAAACTGTAACTCGCATGGTCCTTTTGTGGGAGAAATGAGTTCACATACAATATACCAACAATTTTGTTCAATTCCCAACTCATTTCCAGCTGCGCAGCTCTACGTCTCACCTTTTTTTACAGTAGAAATTAGGTGGGTTGTTTTAATTTCCTGGTCTTTTGGCCCCATGATTGGTTTCATCTTTTGGTTGTATATTGTTCTGATGTAGGATTTAAATTAATGTGTAAAGTTTGTTAATGAAATAATAATTCTGTTGTCTATGCAGAAATCCAGTTGAACCGATGTCTTTAACAAGTTACATTACAAGTGAGGTCACAAGTACCAGTATTAATGCAAAAGTGGATGAACAATGACAATGGAATGTCTTTATTACAGTTCATAATAACAACTGTATTATGCCATGACATAACAACCCAGGCTGGGTTGAATGTATTGGAAACATTATTTGAGCATCATTTTGAAAGTATATGCACTTCTTGTTTTCTTTGCCTCAGCAACTAAAAGAAGAAACCATTAGTGAGAAACTTCTGATGCGACCCAAGGCATTGGACAAGGAGAAGAAGAAGCTTAAGCGAAAACGAGAGAACGATGGGACTGGCGAGGATGCAGATGCCTTCCGAGCGGCCATGCTGGAGGAGGCTCACAAGCTGGAGAAGAAAATCAAAAAGAGAAAGAACAAGGACAAGGAAGGGCGCAGCTTGAAGAAGGAACCGCTAGGCCTGGCTGACAAGATCAAGAAGGAAGGCAAAGAGAACAAGATGAAGGAGGAGCACAAGAAGGCTAAGAAGAAAAAAGGTCAATTGTCATAGGCTCTTTGATGCCAAAGATTCTTGTTAGGCAGGTGGGCATTCAAGCAGCTGCCAAGTAACAAGGACTTTGTGAATTGGCAAAAGATAGTATCAAAGCTGTTCTTGTTTTGACGTGATGTCTCATCAGGAGGTGATTACAAAGTTTCATTGTGATGTTGAGAGCTGTATTGCAGTGACG